AAAAGAGAGATGAGAAAGAGATGAGAAAGAAAAAGAGAGAGATGAGAGAGAGAGAAAAGGGAGAATGAGAGAAAGAAAGAGAAGGAGAGATGAGAGACAGAAAGAAAGAGATGAAAGAGAAAGAGAGAGAGATGAGAGAGAGAAAAGAGAGATGAGAAAGAGATGAGAAAGAAAGAAAGATGAGAGAGAAAAGAGATAAGAGAAAGAGAAAAGAGATGAGAGAGATAAAGAGAGAGATGAGAGAAGTGAGTGAGTGAGAGAAAAGAGATGAGAGAGAAAGAGAGAAAGAGATGAGAGAAAGAGAGATGAGAGAAGTGAGTGAGAGAGAGAAAAAAGAGAGATGAGAGAGAGATGAGAGAAAGAGAAAAGAGATGAGAGAAAGAGAGATGAGAAAGATAGAGAGATGAGAGAAGTGAGTGAGAGAGAAAATAGATGAGAGAGAAAGAGAGAGAGATGAGAGAGAGAAAGATGAGAGAAAGAAAGATGTGAGATATGACAGAGAGAGAGAAAGAGAGAGAGATGAGAGAAAGAGAGATGAGAGAAGTGAGTGAGAGAGAGAAAAAAGAGAGATGAGAGAGAGATGAGAGAAAGAGAAAAGAGATGAGAGAAAGAGAGATGAGAAAGATAGAGAGATGAGAGAAGTGAGTGAGAGAGAAAATAGATGAGAGAGAAAGAGAGAGAGATGAGAGAGAGAAAGATGAGAGAAAGAAAGATGTGAGATATGACAGAGAGAGAGAAAGAGAGAGAGATGAGAGAAAGAGAAAAGAGATGAGAGAAAGAGATGAGAGAAAGAGAGATGAGAGAGATAGAGAGATGAGAGAAGTGAGTGAGTGAGCGAGAGAAAAGAGAGATGAGAGAGAAAGAGAGATGAGAGAGAAAGAGAGATGTGAGATATGAAAGAGAGAGAGAGAAAGAAAGAGAGAGATGAGTTTAGATCCTTCCTCGTGTTCATATATTTTTTTCCAGTTGGCCAATGTCAGATCTTCTGCTCAACAATCGCAGGTTGAGAATGACTTTGGCCTTATTCTGAGAACTTCTTGGTGTCAAGTGAGTCTTCGTGAGTTCTATTCTTTCATCTTTTTCTCTTCCCCCCTTTCCTATCTTTCCTCTTTCTGTAGATGGTGATGCCAGTGCGTCCCTATTGGGCAAATCTAAGGATGTTGCTGCCATTGTGGTGCCCGTCCTGTTCCTCTTACTAGTGACAGTGGGCGTTGGGTTTGTGGTCTTGTACATGAGGCATCGAAGACTTCAAAATAGCTTCACGGCTTTTGCCAACAGTCACTACAACTCCCGACTGGGCTCCGCCGTCTTCTCCTCTGGGGACGACTTAGGTAAGTGAGGTCCAAGTCTTAGGTGGAATTCAGAAGCGCTGCTGGATTTACAACAAGCCTTCAGGATGTGCCTGCTCTACCTGGACTGAGCATTAATAATTAGCTTGGTAAATTTCCACTGCAGCCATCTCCAGCGTCCATTGGAGTTAGGTGCTGAATGAATGAATGAATGATTCAATGATTCAATTTGGGTTCCTTTATTTAGTTTGGAGAGTTTGGATTAAGTAGCTTCATTGGGCTTTTCAGATAGATGATAGATGGATGGATGGATAGATAGATAGATAGATAGATAGATAGATAGATAGATAGATAGATGATA